ACTTGTAAAAATTATATACTACTAAATAAAATAGTTCCTACTCTAACTTTATCTAAATAGTATATGAAAGCTCAAAAACCAGTAGCAAAATACTTCTTCAACCTTAATTATAGAGGGTTAGTATTCAATTCTAGTCTCAGAGTATTGTTTATTGCTTGTTGTATTTGAGGTATGTGTCTTGATGTGTTTGTTATCCTGTTGTACCAATTTAGAAAGTAAATAATACTGACTATTTTGGTGCACATAATATCGATCTTTTGAAAGAGTAAATTGAAATGCCCACTTTTTACAAAAAATTCTCGAAAAAAATAGTGGGCCAACGAGAATATGTGAGGTTCTTTTTGTAAGAGTTACAGTTGTATAGTCCAGTTCCTCAATTTCTACTTAGTATTTCTGTCCAGGGACCCACAGTGACATTGCTTCCAAAATATCCTTTTGGTTTAGATGTCGAAAGTATGAAGGAGTCTACTAAAGCTTAATCTAATGACACAGCCCACTTGTTGTTTATATGTCTGCTCCTCGGTATTTCACATATATAAAGTTTTGTTGATAGCAAGTATGTTTGTAAGATACTAGAAATATTTAGATGCTACTTTGTTGCTTTCCTATATTGTTTTTCTGTAGTTTAGTTTGTTTTGTTGTTGACCAAGGGATTGTTAAAAAGAGTTGAATAAATAATGATAATTAAAAATTTTTATATCTATTATTTAGTATAAATTTACTTTATTTATTTTAAACAATACAATTTTAAAATATAAAAAGAATTTAAAAACTTATATAAATTAAAATAAAAAATTATAAAATTAATATTCAAGCCTAATAAATTTATAAAAATTTATATACTTGATTTGCTAGTATAGAATACTTGAAAATTGATATTTGAACTATTAATTACCCTTCTTTTAAAGTAATTACTCTAAGCAAAATTATTTATTAAGACAAGCAAACTTTAAGCAAAGTAATAAACTATTAAATCAAACTTCATACTAAAATAATAATAATAATCACCTTATTATATAAATTATAATTTATAACAATGATATATTATTAGCTAATAAATCAATTTATAATAGTCTAGCAATAATTAACCGAAGAAAACACTTCAAAATAATTGTTCAAATTGTTGTTATTGCCAAAAATTAACTACTCTTCTAATGCTTGTTTTTACTAAAAAAATAACCTGCTATATAAAAATCGGTAATATATTTTTATAGAAGTAATTTATTTGACATCCTGGTGAATTACGTTATATTTTAGTTATATCCCCACTGGGTTATATCCCAACCTATAAGTTATATCTCCATATTTAAGAAGAATAATTTTTTTAAATATGTTTTTATATGTTTTATATATTGAGTTATATTCCTGCCTTAGTTACATTTCCAAAATGCTCCGGAAAAAAGGTGATTTAACCCAGGTATGACTGTACTTACTTCATTAAATACAAGATAATAAAACCTAACCTATTAGGGTTATCATTAGAGTTATAGGTAGGGTTAGGCTAAGGTAAAATTGTGAGAACAATTTTGTTATATTACACGATGGGTTACATTAGTAAAATTGAGATATCAGCATTCATTTTTTTAAATTTTGTTATAGGGGATAATTCACCCCATGCAAGCAATAAATGTACTCTTCTTTATGTTTTTTAAATTTTTTAAATTTTTCACCGATTGAGAAGTGATCTACGTCGTTTCAAAAATGACCTAAATTGTGAAATACGCAGAACATTTCTTTGTTTTGATTACGGTCGGGCTGATCCAGAATAATCACATTTTACATTCACCGATTTGCTAATTTCCCCTTTTTGGATTCATACACTTATTTGTACGGCAATATTATATGAGATATCGATAGGAAGTATTACTGTATTACTATTGTTATACAGATTTATCCGGCTTTTGATTGGACTGTCTGTAATCAATGTCAGTGTTTGAAAATAGCTTGATACAAAGTTTAATAACGTGTGAACATTTTAGTTTACAAATATGCATGTACATTTGATTCAAAAAAAATCTAAAACAATGGATTGAACTTTTAAATCACCATTGCGACAGAATGCTGCAATGACAATGAATATTTTAGTTCTTAACAAGCTGCCTAAATGGACTGTATTGAAATGCATTTGCGTTGTACAGCATTTGGAGTTCAACTCCGAAGAAATTTTTACTTAATTCTATCTGCATTTTCATCTGAAATTCGCTTGAGCACAAATAGTAATCTAAATATGTACACATTTCAAATGATATATATTTGAACGTGGAATGTTTGAACAGTGCTCAGTTAATTTTATAAGATGCCTCATACCAATTTCACAGAAGAAATTCCCTTCAAAGAATTTACTGCTATCGAAACGCTAAACCTGCCAGAATTTGGTATTTTTAAAACAGCTACTTTGAAATGGTCCAATAAAACCCAAACAATGGCCTTGATTCGTACCGAAAATAATACAAATAATCCTCAAAAGGTAACAATTTCAGGACATCAATAAGGCCATGCAAAGCTTAAATTTTATTTTCATTTCATAAATCTAAATTTATGCCATTCATAGTTCACAATATTTGTGATTCTTTTGATCCTAACTTCCAATGTAATCTTTATGATGATTACAGCTGTTTTCAAAAAGGTGTGAACAACGATTTCCATATACTTATGTGGGAAATCGAAGAATTAGGAAATTCTAATTAGTAAAAATTGAAGATCCGATTAGAGGTGGCTTTGAAATTTCCGGAAATCTGGTGATTTGCGTCTGTTCACATCTTTTCGAAAACAGCTATAAATATTATACTAAATTGATTAGAATTTCATGTTATCTGATATCTCCTTATCTTCGTGCAGAAATCAGGTGATTACAACTTGTTTTAGTGGTAATTGACACCACGTGGGACCCAAGCGTTATCCTGTACGTGATAGTATAATCCGACAATTTTGTAAGAATTACTTATTACTTAACCATTATTTAATAATATTAAGTAATTTTTGCATAGGCCGTCCAATGTTGGTAAGTTGGTTAACGTCATCCTCTCTCTCCCCAAAATTATAACAGGAGGAAACGTTGATGTTACACAATTGATCCTTCACCCGGTGTGCAACATATAAAAAAATTATTTTACAATACCAGATCATTCCGCTAGTGCATGTTATGATTATAATTCCACACCATTTTATTATTGTAAAAATGGTGTGGGATTATAATCATAGCATGTACTAGCGAATGATTTGGTATTGTAAAATAATTTTTTATATGTTGCACACCGGGTGAAGGATCAGTTGTATAACATCAATGTTTCCTCCTGTTCAAAATTATACAAATTAAACTTTGTTAATTATATGGTTAAGGTTGATCAATGTGTGTTTGCTTAAATTTCCCCTGGAGTTTGAAACCGATTCAATAATGTGAGTTTATAATTCAAATTTTGTTACATTTTATTAATACTCTAATCTAATTTCCTTTCTCTTCTCGCGCCTGTGCAAAAATATTGACGTTACCATTTATCAACTTAAACAGCCTTATACACTTAATCACGTGATATTGGTTGGAAATTAAAAAAGTATTTTTTTATTACTGAAAAATTGATTTATTGTAAGAATTGCTATTTCTTAGAATATGTAATTATTTTACCCATCTCTACACGCGAATATTGGAGAATTTCGCAAATTGACCATTTATAGCATCTGATTAAATGTGATTCCAAAATCAACTAATTTCTGTTTATTTCATCATGAATCAAAATTTAAGAACTGCACGGCAGACTACAAAATGAAATTTTACTTTGAGGGGCCTGATAGTGATTGTTATAATGTTAATTTTTAACATTGCCATTAATATTGCTTTTTAATCTTATAGTTTCAAGATATGTTGAAAGATATTCAACACAAAAATATCATAAAGTTTTCTGGAATAACTTATGGTACATTTTATTTATTTTCAATTTAACTGAATTTAATTTTAATTCTATATCTTATTTTATATAATACTTAGATTTGGAAAAAAATAAATATATGGTGTTTCAGTTTGCTGCCGATGGAAATTTGAGAGATTATTTAGTTCGCAATAAAATTAGTCGGAAAACAAAATTAAAAATGGCGAAAGGTATAGCTAAAGGATTGGAATATTTACATAAAAAAGGAATAGTTCATGAAAACTTGGTAAGTTTTTTTCTGCTTCATAAGCCATTTATATAATAAAAATAAACATTCTAATCCTTATGTATGTAAATATAATAGAACCCTAGCACTATTTTTGTAGAGAATAAAAATGTACTTATAGTAAATCCAACATTATCCACAGTAACAAAAAAAGATTCATCCGTGAACACCATGAGAAATATGATACCTTATTTAGATCCACAATCATTTAAAAACCCACACCATCGACCCGATTTTAAATCCAATATTTATAGTCTAGGCGTAATCATGTGGCAAATTTTCAGCTGTAAAGAACCACTTTCGAATTATTCTAATTTGATGGCTTTTGTACACGACGTTCTAAGTAATAAGAGAGAAGAGCCTATTGGAGATGCACCTGATGAATATATCAATCTTTATAAGGATTGCTGGTTGTCTGATCCAAATAAAAGACCATCTATTCAGCAAGTTGTTTCAAGGCTAATGCAAATATCGGTTTGACTGGATAATTTATTATCATTAAAGTAGTAAGAAGTACTATTAATTCTGTGTTTTACATTACCCCCTCTCCCCTCCGGAAAGGGGGAAGGGGGAATTTGTGGTTTACATAGTTAAAATTTTCAAAAAAATTTCCGAATTGTTCTGTGACTATATAATTTTTTACTATGAGGGAGAGGGTGGAACGCTGGAGGTAATGTAACACTGAATCAAGTTGGTATAGCCTAATGATATAGATTTTTTCTTTTTAAAATTAAGAATTTATCATGTAAATTATTTTTAAATTTTCAAATAAAATTTTAGAGTAGGTTTTTCTGATTCTAATAGTGGCAAAATTATTAAACTTGGCTAAATATTTATTAAGTACATGTAATTGAAGATAGGATAAATTATTTACAAGATGTCATCAGTTATTTAAAATTATTAATTTTGCTTTATTATTTTTCGCAATTTTGTTTTATTTTTAATGGCTTTGCAATAATATATAGTTTATTATAAAAGTCATGGTAAATCGTATGAAATAGACAAAGTTTGTAGAAAATCAGCGTAATCTAGTTCAAGTTTTCTATACTTATCACTTATTTGGGCTGCCGCATAAAAGATCCTCCAGACATCTGATCCCCCAATGTTTAAAGTTATTATAAGTCTGGCAAATAGTCAGGTTTCATTTTACGAAAATTCAACATCAGGTGTAACGTAACACAGATGTCTGATTTGTAAAAATCGCGTAAACTATCTTAAAACATTTTTATTAAGCGATTTTATTACACGATTCACAAATTCCTAACCTTAACTTGTTCCGGAGCAGAGCGGAAGATGTTATGATAGGAAGAGCTTGCATCAATACGTAGCCACCATTAGCTCAGATTGTAAGTAGTAATATATTAGATATTACAGATGCAAAGAGCGATTAGAGAGTACAATGTAATAGGGGAAAAGAAATCGAAACGTGCAAAAGGAACTAGCTCACTTCTCAATAAGAGATCTAACTACCTAACGCTATTAGATCTTTTTATATTAGCGATTAATGACCTTTATTAACTTTCAATTAGTAATAAAAGCGATTATGTAATTGAATAGTAATCGCCATTACTAAATCTATTATGAAATTTTCGCAACAAGGGACACGAGTAAAAATCACTGTAAATTGGATCCACATAAAATTTAAACTCTAGTTTGCCCACCCATTTATAAAATAATAAGCAATTAGACAGTCATTAGACAACATTTGATATAATAGATGATTAGACAATTTGACAAACAAACATTAGATTAATAGATGGTTAGACAATTAGACAATAAGATTTTTGTTAAACTATGTCTATTCATATCCCTGATATTCGCAAAAACTTGGTAACAATCTCGATTTGATTTATTCATTTTTTGTTATAGTTACCTTTTGTCAAGTTTTTCTTGGTTATTATACTCGACTTATTGATATACAATACAAATTACACTCTACCCTTGTTATAACAAACTGCCAGACCGAATAATTTTGTTTTTATAATAAAAATCCATTATTACATTATAACGGATTTACTAATATATATAAGAATAATCCACGGTTATCTCACAAAAATCTTTATATTTCCATATATTAAATACCACTAACACCTTGGTGAGATTTTTGTCAGAGGCACTGGTTTACTATGACTGAAAGATTGTTATTGCTTATCTTTCTAACATTGAAATATGACTGTATTGTGATATACAGCTATGTGTAAATACATAATACAGAACGGCTTTTTTCTAATGATGGATACTTATAGTCATTTGGAGATGAAATGTTGTCAAAATAAGTTTTAAAAATATATCATAGTAATTACTAGATATATAATTTTTACACCTTTGTGCAGATTGTAGTACATTATTTTTTTTTGTCTGTTTAGTCTTAGATTATATGTTAGTATAGACTAGGATTAGTTTTTTAGTAATATACATCAGTTTGTGATATAGAAAGTTCACACTGGATACTAGTAAATGTGGAGGGATGGTACTGTTCAACTTTTTGGTGTGCTATATTATTTCCTATTTCAGAAGGCATTATGGGCTATCAATTTTTTTTCTAATTTAGTAGATATTATAAATACGTATATCATATATTATAATTACTTCATAATGCATATGTAGTGATATGAATGATCGTGAAAAAATTGCAAGTTAACTCTTTTTTGTAGTGAACTATTTTACAACAGTAATAGTTCCATTCTAATTCAGTGTTCGTTCATTTTAATGTTTTTGATTGGCAATACCCAAAAACTGTGATCTGAGTGTGGAAAATTTTTGATTGCTATTTAAAATATGTAATTATTGTGACATTTTGATATTTTGCATGATTAATTAATTGTCATAATTTGTTCTTGATAACAGGTTTTTCTGATGACACTCATATAAGCTTACTAAATTTAATAAATATGATATATACAACATATTTGATATATAAAATATATTAAGAGAATGTCTATTTACTATTTTTACCATTTACGTAATTTTTCATAACATAGTCTTCATGTTTATGTAGCTGAAAGTCATGTGAAAAGCATGGTAGAAATAGCAAATTTTCATGGTGGAAATAGACATCCTCTATATTAAATATGTTAAATATGTTCGATTGTTCTTACTATAGTAAGGATTTCTACTTCTAATTTTTGGGTTATAAAAAAAAAAAATAAAAAAGTAATAAAATAAAAAAAAAGAAATAGAAAATAGGATGATAGCGATAATATAGCCATGTATGCGTGATCATACGGGTTCTGTATAGTGTCACACATTGTGCAGCTACCTAAATTTATTAGCTAATAACTACTAGTCTTTTGTTAAAACAAAAGTAGATTTATTCATTAGAATTTGGCAATTATATTAAATTTGTTTTATAGATTGGAATTTTATAATAAAATCATTATATAGACTAGTAAAGAGTTCTGTTATATATAATACAGCCTTTTTACTATTAAATCTATTATAACTATAATAAATTATATATTAAAAATTTAGTACTTCAAATTTGGTCTGTTAAATTGGAAGAATATCTGTTATATTTTATAGTTAATAGTATACAAGATATATACTTAGAAAAAAAATCATTATAATTATCTAATAGTTATACAAAAAGAAAAAAATCTAGAGTTGAAAATAGAATTAGATTAAAGCAAGAGAGTCCAAAAACAAAGGAAAAATTAACAAAAATAATACAACAAAACAGAATTAAAGAGATTAGTACTTCAATTTAAAAAATCTGTCAAAACCATCATAGCAAATCAGTATAAAGAAAAAAATTAAAGAAGTAAAGAAAAGATACAAGTTCAACAAAAAAAACAAAATTGCTGAAAAAAATAGCAAAGGATTAAAATTCAAGTTGCTGAAAAAAATTGAAATTAAAAACAGATTGAAGCAAAAAACTTTGAAACCAAAAAAAAATTAACAAAAATAGTACAACAAAACCATATTAAAGTTATTAGTACAATAATTTAAAAAATTTATTAAAACTGCCACAGCAAATCAAAATAATAAAAAAATAAAAAAAAAACAAGACAAGAAATTCTATTATCAATTTCAGAAAAAAATAAAAGATATGATATTAATTAAAACAAAAATTTATAGAGAAATATAATATACTAGATAATAAAAATTATATATTAAACAAGCAATGAATATATACAAAATATTAACAAAAACTAAAAAAAAGAGAAAAGATCTACTAGTAAAAAAGATTTAATAGTCTAGATATTAATAGATTATTAATCAAATCTAATATAAAATATAATAGCAAGAAGATTAATAGGGTCAAGAATTGCAAAAAGAAAAAGAAAGATATAATGTTAAAAATAGTAGAACTGTTTAGTAATCAAAAAGTTTTATTAAAATACAAAAAAATTTCTAAGAAGAAAGAAGCTTTAAAATGAAAAGAATAGTAAAAGATGCTTAAATTTAAAATAAAAAAGAAAGAAAATTAAAACAACTAACTGAGACCTAAAAACAAAAGAACCAAGAGTAGTACAAAAGATTTAGAAAGAGATAAAGATTTTAGAAAAATGCTTTTAAAAAAGTTATTTAAAATAAGCTCTTGATAAGAAAAAAAATATGAAGTCACAAAATAGAAAGAAAATAAAGAAAAAAATTTAGAGAAACTTCTAAAAGCTAAAATACTAATTAGAAAGAAAAAAATAAATTAAAAAAAGTGAAAAAGAAAGATTAAATACAATTAAAAAAATTTTGGCAATAATATAATAGTAGAAAATAGAATTAAATTTTATATTAGTAAAAAATTAGAAATAGATTATTTTGTAAAGAAAAGAATAAATTAAAAAAATAATTGCTATCTAAAGTAGTCAAAAATTCTTTTGAAATAAAGATATCTTGTTTTAGTTTTACTGACTAGCTTAGTATAGCTCTCTAGTATGAGCAATAGCCTTAACTAGTATAACAGATCATACTTGGATACTACTTCACGAATCATGTTTTTGATGAATATCATATAAGGGAGTACTTAGAGGATAGTAAGAAGTATACTGCATAAGATAACTTAAAAAATACTAAGATCTGAAGATGGCAAACCAGGCGGTAGTAGCAAAACCTGATTTGAGATACAAGGCTAGTATACCTGAAAATACAAGTGAGAGGTTTGGGATATTTATGTAATATTAAGTTGCATGAAGAAATACAAGCAAGCAGATGATATGATATGATTACTTCAATGAGAGATATCACATAAACTGAGTAGTATAAACTCATGATAAGTCCTCTTTCTAACATGTGATACCAATACTACTCATGTAGAACTAGTGGCGGCAGCAGGTATCTGGCTTGAGAAATGTGAATGAAAGACCACCTATTAGAAAGAGTATTCTAGTTTAGAAAATATTTCAAATAACAGACACACCAAATCAGGAGGCTATTAAGGACCGATTACCTGAATGAACCAATTTGAAAATTACCAAGGTTTGATAATAAGACATGAGGTAAATGTGGTGGGTAACTAGATATGTCTAAATACCAAATCAAGATATAATCCAATATGTAGTGGGAACGTAGCATACTCTGGTAGGTTTAGGTTATAGATAAAATTGTCTACTTGATAAATATCTAAATAAAGATACAAAGCAATACCTCACTTTAACACTGAAAAAAAGCAATTTTATTAATTATAACTAATATAATTTAAGATATATTTTATCTTGCTTACTTTTATAATTTTGCTTACTTTTAGAATCTTTGCTTATTTTTAAAATTTTTATAAATTTGTATTTAATATTAGAAAATAACTATATTTACCCTTATGTTTTTAGGGTTAGGGTGAAATTTTGACAAAACTTAGGGTTAGACATTAGGACCCCAATTTTAGTTGGC